CTGTAGGTTTTAAATCCTTTCCCTTTCACAGGATTTGGGGGGGGGGGGGGGGGGGAGAGAGAGAGAATGTTTGTTTTCTTAGACCTGCGTTATGTACAGAGTCACTTTTTAATTCAGGAAGTTGCATTAAGGTATGCTTTGCTGAAAGTAAGATTTAGCCACTGTGATGTAGTATCCACCCTACACAGAAGTGGAAGGGGTTAAGGGAGGCCCCGGGGTCCTACCATATCTTGTCCCCAGGAAGGAACAGTGGAGGCGAGTCCTCCAAGTGGCACAGTGAGGCTCCATGGAGTGCAGCCAATTAGAGAAGGGCTACAGGGAGCAGCCAATCTGGGTCCAGCAGGCCCATATAACAGGAGCTGCAGGGCAGAGCAGGGATGGTCACTGCAGGGAGACCAAGGAGTGAGGACTGTGTTCCTAGTAGACTGCAGGAAGGTAGCACCTTGGACAGAAAAGCTGTTGGCAGGGACTGGGGGAGCAAGAGGGAGCTCTTGACTGGCTGCTGTGACTGGGTAGCTGAATGCCCTGAGGTAAGGGCGAAGAAGATGCTGGGGCTGTGGGAAAGCAGCTCAGGGAATTGTAGCAGCATTGAAAGAACGTAAAGAAGCACAACAGGAAGCTGCCATCTACAGGGTCCCTGGTCTGGGACTCAGAGAAATGGGTGGGCCCCACTCATCATTGAGGAAGTGGCTAGATTATTGTACAGTGATACCTCCGACACCTGGAATGGGGGGGAACAGAGACCTAGCCAGAGGGCTGAGACACGAAGAGGACGCGGTGGTTCCTGAGGCTAAGAGAGTGGCTGCAGATGGCAAGTCAGAGCGACGGTGTGCAAACTGCAGACGGTGGCATTGGCCTTGAGCTAATCCTCAAAGTGACCAGGAGGCGGCGCCAGCCCAGCAGTGAGTGGTGCACTCCATGACAGGCATCTTCCAAAGGTAAGTGAATCAAACAGAGCTTGCAGTTCTCTAATACTTCATGGAAGTTAACACTTTGGATGTCACATGAAGACCAGGAGGAGTAAGAGTAATGGAATGATGTCCCTAGTGTAGCACTCCCATAGTTGGTAGGGGGATGGAGTACTGAAGAAACAACATTTATGTGGGAAAGAATGTTTAACAATCCCGTACAACATTATACATGAAGATGACTCATATCTGAAGTTTTCCAATCACTACCCATCTGTCATAAATATAAAGGGAAGGCTAACCACCTTTAAATCCCTCCTGGCCAGAGGAAAAACCCTTTCACCTGTAAAGGGTTAAGAAGCTAAAGATAACCTCGCTGGCACCTGACCAAAATGACCAATGAGGAGACAAGATACTTTCAAAGCTGGGGGGGGACGGGACGGGGGACAAAAGGTTTTCTGTGTTGGTGTGTTGCTTTTGCCGTGACCAGAGCAGGAATGCAGGTCAGAACTCCTGTAAAGAGTTAGCAAGCAATCTAGTTAGATATGCATTAGATTCTGTTTTGTTTAAATGGCTGATAAAATAAGTTGTGCTGAATGGAATGTATATTCCTGTTTGTGTGTCTTTTTGTAACTTAAGAGAATCGCTCTAGGCAAAACCTATGTTTTGAATCTGATTACCCTGTAAGGTATTTACCATACTGATTTTACAGAGGTGATGCTTTTACTTTTTCTTCAATTAAAATTATTCTTTTAAGAACCTGATTGCTTTTTCATTGCTCTTAAGATCCAAGGGTTTGGGTCTGTGTTCACCTATGCAAATTGGTGAGGATTTTTATCAAGCCTTCCCCAGGAATGGGGGTGTAGGGCTTGGGGGGATTTTGGGGGGAAAGAAGTTTCCAAGTGGGCTCTTTCCCGGTTATATTTTGTTAGACGCTTGGTGGTGGCAGCAATAAAGTCCAGTTTGTACCTCGGGGAAGTTTTAACCTAAGCTGGTAAAAATAAGCTTAGGGGGTTTTTCATGCAGGTCCCCTCACCTGTACCCTAGAATTCATAGTGGGGAAGGAACGTTGACACCATCTAAAAGGAGTACTTGAGAATGGGATCTGAAGTCTGTCTTCCCAGCTAGAGACCAACCAGACTACTAGTAGTCATAGGGAGGCAGCTAGAGCCTATGGGGAGAGTCATCTGAGAAGGAGACAACTCCATAAGGATCCTTTTTTTAAAAATGGTGATTGGGGAAAAAAATAGTCTAGTTTTGTCCTACCAATCCACTTTTCCAAACTAGTTTTTACCATCCCTAATAAAGAGCTATGATGATTAAAGAAATTCTCTTAACCAGGTCAGTAGGCAAATGAATGTGATGGGGAAAGGAGGCTGAAAAGGTATGTGAATGGAAGGACAGGGTGAGAGACTTTTTCTTTTCTGTAAGTTTATCTGATAGTCTGTCTTAACTTGTCTCTTGACATGACACCAGTTTTTGAGAGTTGTTTGTATGAAGCTAAAACTCCAGTATTAAGAGTTTCTCAAGAGCTGGTCTACGCGACAAAGTTAGGTCGGATTAACTACATCGCTCAGGACTGTGAAAAATTTCACACCCTGTGCAATGTAGTTAAACTGACCTAAGCTGCAGTGTAGACACAGATGAAGAATTCTTTTATCAACCCAGCTACCACCTCTTGGAGAGGTGGATTTACTACAGCAACAGATGAACCCCTTCTGTCGCTGTATTAAGCGGCTGTACCATAGCGGCACAGCTGCAGCTGTGTCGCTGTAGTATTTCTAGTATAGACATAGCCTTATTTTGGGAATAGGGCACTTTAGTGTTCATGAATCCTAGAAGGGTAGGACTGGAAGGGACCTCAAGAGGACCATCCCTGACAGGTAAACATTGTCTAACCAGTTCTTAAAGACCTCCAGGTGATGGAGATTCCATAATCTCCCTAGGGTGGAAGAAATATATTTCCCTACTAAGCAGTAGGAAGGCTAAAGACACATGTTGACAATTCTACATTGTACGAACCCATTAAAGTTTGCCATTTTATATTGAATTTCATGCAAAAGATGAAAAAGGAAATTTGAAGTTAAAATTTCTGGCATTTATTGGCCAAGATTGCACAGACCTTACACTCAATTCAAAGGCATCTCTCTGTCTTTGACCACATCTGATCAATTTCAAAATTTCAGGGAAAATTCTAGGCTTCAATGGTTAGAGCCATGTTAATTTGGGAGGAAATCAGAACAAAAAGGGTGGGGAAATGGGGGACACAGAGCCCCTCCCATCTAATTAACACAGACACAGCATCAAGCTGCTTTGCAATTGTCTATAGGTCAAACTGGTTGATGCACCCATTAACATCTTTGAGCATAACAATATTCCTGCTCATCCTCTCAGACGACACCCCAGATGGCACTCCCAGATAGAAAGAATAATGAACAATAAGGACAAAATGCAGAATAGGGGCACGCACACAGGCCTTGGCATCAGGAGAATAGGGCATCCTGATATGGAGGCCCCCAGAACCTCTAGCATGAGGGAAAGGGTGGGGAAGTTGCAGGAAGTCTCTGAAAGAGGGGGGCAGGAAGATGGCAAACAGGGAGCTGAAGGAATGCATGGAACCCCTGATGTGTGCAGTAAGCTCAGCAGACAAACTATGAAGAGAGCAACCCCTGTGTCTTCTATTGCACCTTTGACTCTGCAGTGCCTAGCTGATGAAGTTGTGTGAAGAGTATCCTAAGGGCAGGTGTACACTTAAAACACCATACCCAGGCAGCTGCACTGCTGAAGTGCTTTAGTGAAGATGCTCCAAGAGCACTCTCCTGTCGGCTTAGTTAAACCACTTACTGCCAACATAGCGCTGTCCACTGGCAGTTGGGTTTGTATAAAACTATGTCGCTCACGGGTGGGGATTATTCATTATTAAGCCCTGATCTACACTACAGAATTACTTCAGTATAACTAAAAGTAAAGAGCAGCAAAGAAAGCATTTGCTCAATTGTGTACAACACAAAACACCAAAGACACACTGTTGCAGAAAGCTTAATTACATTTTTTAAAACTGTAAGTTAGATATAAGCAGTTGTGACAGATGGGGAAGCCATTTCCTGACAGTTAATGGTTGGGGAGAGTCAAAGGGCCAAGGAAAGCTAAGCTCTTAACTCAGTTAGATAGTAGCTGCCAGCAAATGCCTAGCCTATCAGTCACAACTGGAAAATAAGCCTTCAGTTAATGCTGTTGCTGCAAGTAAGGAGAGCTATACACACAGTTAACTTTGACAGACTATTTACAACTTTAAGTCCTATTTTCACGGTGTTGGAAAGTAATGATGATCAAGTATCTGAGACTAACACACAGGTGATTTCTGTTTTCAGAATGCTACGGTTGTAGGTTATCACAATAAAAATGTGCTGATACTGTGTAAGTATTAGCTTCATTTGCCTCAACTGCAGTTACATTTTCATTTCACACACAAATATCTGAGCAAAATACCACTCTAAGATCAAGGCAAAACAAACGGACGTCACCATTAAACACAGTTAAATGCAGCTTCAAAGTTGGCAAAACTATCCCTTGCGCATTACAAGTTCATTTTCAGTATTATAGTTGTCCACAAAGATAAGTTCTCAAGCATTTAATCTCATGAGATTTATGGCATTTCCTTCTATTAATTTTACACTCATTTGCCCACAAACCAGTAAAGAGAAAATATAATAGATTTATATGGCACATTTTAGTTTTAATCAACTTTTGCCAGAAAGTGTCTGTAGAAACAATTTACAAATAATTTAGGTATCAAACAGGAATATGCATACTGTAAGACATCCTCCCCTCTTTGGAAAGTGAACTTTTTGGTCATCAGATACACGCTTCCTGAGGAGGCCCTACAGGCTTAGTCAGATCAGCGCCAGGAATTCAGTGAACCTGGGGTCATGCTGTCAAGACTCCAGAGTAATGCAGCGTTAAACCATTTGAACAGAATTCAGCCAGGGAATTAATGACTTCTGTTACAATACCATGACATCTGTCTTTACAAAACAACTCTTGCTGCATTTCCTTCCCTCCCCCCCTAAAATTGGGAAAATAGCTTCTTACCCAGCTCTCCTCTAAGGTTGAGGAATTCTTGAGATAGCTCTTTATGCTGTTTTAGTGCTTCCTCCCTCTGTAAAAAAAGAAGAAAAACACATTTGGTTACTAGTGTTTTGAATAGAACACCTTCCAATAATTAACTCACATTATCTGCAGGAAAACAAAAGGCAAGAGTGAGAAGCCAAGAAATGAATCATTTAGGGTAACAGCTTTGCTGTTACAAACACACAGATGTTCCTTAGTTGTTATGGAAGTTATTCTTTAAACAGCCTCCCTAGTTTTCCCAAGTTAACAATCCAATTAAATCTTAGTTTGCAGCAATTAAATGATTGTATTAGGATTTTTCCCACCCTCATGGGTGTAACTGTATATTGACCCACAATGTTTCAACTAATGCATGCATAGGACACATGATGCATGCCTCTTTCAAACACAAACTTAAATATTTATGCTAAGATCTTGTCAGCATATGGACTTTGTGCTGAATGTAAACAAAGCTAAACTTTGCTAGAAGCTCGATCTTCTATGAAGGAAAGGTAAAGCCCACTTTTAAACTATCGCCATTTTTTCATTAATAGATTTTATAGGTTCAATGACAGCTAAAATACTCAGATTTAACTTCTAGCTTTACAAAAAACAGATTAGAATTGAAAGAAAATATATAAAAATATAGAAAGTGGTCTTGGCATTCAGGAAGACTAACTAGAGCTTTTTAAAGCAAGAATCAGCTTGTTATTCAACTTAAAAGCCACGGAAAAAACCCGACTACCTCCTTTGCCCCTTATATTCTGCCCACAACTGAAAGACCGCCTAAAAACCTGAAACTAGCTGCTGCATAGAACAGAGTTTAAGAAGCAGATTCAAGGAGGACAATTCACAGCATACATAGCATAACTACATTAAAGGTATTTCACAGCTCAGTGTTCACTTCATGAACAGAATCCTCCAGACGCAACCACTGCTGTGGAGAGCATAATGTTGCAGAGATCATAAGATTCAGGCTTTCCAGTCAGGAATTGCTTGCTGCTGGAGCCATGTCACCTTCCCTGCAGTCAGCCACTGCCTAAATTCCCTGACATTCTTCCAGAAAAGCACTATAAAACAAATAGTGATTACCCTTGTTGCAGCACATTGAGAATAGAGGCACATTTTGCTGCTAGAGCAGCCCATTTTCCAGCTTCTGTGTCTCCACTTCCACCCTGCACATGTAACAGGGTATACAGGTGGTACTGGCAACACCACACACCAAACTGGTCTGGCTAGATACAAGACACTACTAGGAAGGGCTCCATTGGACCTTGTCTCAGCCTTACTTCAAGCTTTGCAGGTTACCGTACTGCTTGTACTGCTCTCTCCCACCAGAGGCAGATATTGCAGCTTCTGCACTTGGCACAAGCAGTCAGTGATTACTTAAAGCCACAGCCCTTCATTTATGAAAAATGAGAAGCAGACCTTAGACTGATCGATTGCCACTTACTCAAATATCAGCTGGTTCAGTAAAGGAAAATCTGACCTTCTCCATGGATAATGGAGTATATTTTTAGCTTTCTGAGCTAGATATACCAGGCTTTCACTTAATTTGTATACACAAAAATAACTGACCTGAGACCTGAACTGGACAGAAAAAACAAAATTATGCACCAGTGAGAATGCAATGTAAACATTAAGTTTAACATGATGATAAGTACCCAAACTTGCATTTCTAATGACCCCATCACTTGCAACAAGCTTCACTGTGAACATTGCCTCCTTTCATAGGATCATAGAATATCAGGGTTGGAAGGGACCCCAGAAGGTCATCTAGTCCAACCCCCTGCTCGAAGCAGGACCAATTCCCAGTTAAATCATCCCAGCCAGGGCTTTGTCAAGCCTGACCTTAAAAACCTCTAAGGAAGGAGATTCTACCACCTCCCTAGGTAACGCATTCCAGTGTTTCACCACCCTCATAGTGAAAAAGTTTTTCCTAATATCCAATCTAAACCTCCCCCACTGCAACTTGAGACCATTACTCCTCGTTCTGTCATCTGCTACCATTGAGAACAGTCTAGAGCCATCCTCTTTGGAACCCCCTTTCAGGTAGTTGAAAGCAGCTATCAAATCCCCCCTCATTCTTCTCTTCTGCAGACTAAACAATCCCAGCTCCCTCAGCCTCTCCTCATAAGTCATGTGTTCTAGACCCCTAATCATTTTTGTTGCCCTTCACTGGACTCTCTCCAATTTATCCACATCCTTCTTGTAGTGTGGGGCCCAAAACTGGACACAGTACTCCAGATGAGGCCTCACCAATGTTGAATAGAGGGGAACGATCACGTCCCTCGATCTGCTCGCTATGCCCCTACTTATACTTTGCTCTCACCTGTACTATATTAGAAACATAATACAGTTGTACAAAACCATTCAGATATTTTTTTTCGAGTTGCAACTACACAAACATCTATGGTAGTTAAATTCAAACATTAACACTGCCATACTTAAAGCCAAGGGATGGGAAGTGCTCACAGAAAACCCCACCTTTAGAATACATTTATTTCTCCCGTTTATTCCTACTGCAAATTAGTTTAGGACTCTTGATAAGAAACTCACTTATCAGATTACCTAATTAGAGGAGAATAAAGGAGGTGGCAAATATTCCTTCGAAATCTGAAGAGTGAGTGAAACTATGAAACATTGGTCTTAAAGACAATTAAAGCCCAAAGGAGTTAGACGTAGCCATTAGTTAGGTAGCCACTCATTTAGCATTAAGTGCAACATCTCAGCCATCTCCTAGTTTGATCACACAGCTGTAATGCCTAGTTTGTTCTTGAGTAAAGAGTGTTTTTTCCAAAAATTGTCAACTCATACGGTGTAACATTTGGACTTTTCAAGCAAGTCCTTCACTGGCTATGCGTCATATAAAGACCTACCTACACATTCTCTTCAGATGCATTTGCCTATATTATAACAATTTAATTACAATAAAAAAAAGAGATTTAGCATATGAAGGTTAAAAGCTGCCTTAAAACACATCCTCTTTTGATGCAAATGGGAAAAAAAGTGAGGTTACTACATTGAGCCTAGAGGGAGAGGATAAAAGTATTGCTGATTAAGTCTGCTCCTCTTTAGTTTAAATCAATTGAAGGACACCTATACATGATCCTGAACTATAGGGCTGGCCCTAAATTTAGAGAGATTATGTACTGAGCAGACTGGCACAGCATATGTCTATTGATATGTCCTGTCTTAAAGGCAAAAAAGGTGCAACTTTGTCATTTTAGCTCAATCAAGTTAGCTTAACTCAATTAATTGAAGACTCCTCTTAATGCTGGTTAAGACTCATGCTAACATATTCAAAGGCTTGTTAGAGGACCGTGTTGTAACCTCATATTAATAAGCATTAGGAGGGGTTTTCTAACTTGATTGAACAGAATTGAAAACCACATTTTCTCCCAATCAAGACTAAACCATAGCCATAGGTTGCTCTTTAGGGTATTAGAATTTCATACTTGTTCAAGGGAATTTACCAGGATGCAGTTTTTCCTCTGGAGAAGAGTGTGAGGAAAGGATGAATCATAGCACTGTAACATCAGTGCCCACTACAGATATACAGAACTGAATGAAACAGTGAATACTGCAGAGTTTTTATTATCTAATTAGATCTCACTGTAGTACTGTGTACATAGTTAAGTACTATTTACTATCATTTGTTGAACCTGCAAACTAAGACTTAGTCTATCTTGTGTTTTGTTTCCCCTTTTCTGTTTAATTGTCTTGACACAGTTTTCCATAGCCACCTTCAGGATCCTTGTTCTCTTCTGAATTAAATTTATACTTGCATATATTTGTTCTGTGATTTTTTTTTTCAATCTTTCAGTGTTTGTTTTTCCTCCTCCCTGCCTCCAATGTTACAAACTTCTCATTTGTAAAACTTCACTCCAATTCTTAGTTAACCTTCTTTAACCCTGCTTGGGTTACTACCCAATTCTTCTTTCTTCACCAATGTTCTTCCTTTTTACCTCCATAGGTCTCCTAGCTCTCTGGGTCCTTTTCTTGGTGTTACTTCCCTTTCCTCTCCCTTTACTGGTGCTATTTGACTGGCAGTTTTTTTTCCCCCCCAGCTTCCCAAAGAGACTGAGGGCAGGTCTACACTTAAAACACTGCATTGGTGCATCGGACTGATGCAGCTGTGCTGCTGTAGCACTTTAATGAAGATGCTCTAAGCTGAGGGGAGAGAGCTCTCCAATCAGCATATTAATCCATCTACCCAAGAGGTGGTAGTTATGTCGGCGGGAGAAGCTCCCACCAACATAGCGCTGTCTACTCTGGGGGTTAGTTCGGTATAACTGTGTTGCTCAGGGGTGTGGATTTTTCACACCCAGGTGACAGAGTTCTTTCTATCAATATAGGCCTATAGTGTAGACCAGACATGAGCCCAGCCAGTTCTGAATACTTCTAATCAATGCTTTGCACCCTTTGCCTTTACATAACCTAGGATTATGTCTACACTGCAGAGCTGTGCTGGTATAGCCTCTTCGTGTAGATGCAGCATACACCAAGAGGAATTTTTCCTGTTTGGTGTAGGAACACCACCTCTCTGAGGCCTGGTCTACACTTAGGGTTGCCAACTCTGACTGAAACTATTCCAGGAGATTTTTTTTTCTTTTCTTCCAACATGATTTAATATCTTTTTCAAAAATATCCTATTAAAATCTCCCAGATTGCTTTCAATAGTCACTGGGAAATTGATGCCAATTTCAGGGTTAGCAACCCTCTCTACACTAGGAAATTAGGTTGGTACAACTGTGTCACTCAGTGATGTGAAAAATCCACACCCGAGTGACGCAGTTAAACCAAACTAACCCTGTGAGTAGACAGTGCTAGGTCAACAGGAGAATTTCCCCATCAACCTAGCTACTGCCTCTCAGGGAGGTAGAGTGCCAAAGGGAGAACCCCGCCAGTTGGTGTAGGCAGTGTCTTCACTAAAGTGCTCCAGTGATGCAGCTGCACCACCATAGTGGTTTATGTGTAGACAGACCCTAAATTATGTTAACTATACCAACAAGAGCACTCTGTCAGCAAAGCTACTCTACACTCAAC